TTCTTTTTGCTTTCTTATTGTGAATAAGTGAAGTGGTTGCTTTATGGATGCTGATGTTCAGCTCGTGGGGTATTTAGAAATGGCATTAGTGGTTTCTTATCTATGGAGATCGTGCTGCTGTTTTCATGAATACTTGATATGTAGACTGGAAAATTGAAGAGGGCGACATGTACTAAGAAAATTTATGTCATGCATGATGTTTGCGGTTTATTCTCATACTTGGACTAATGAATTTCATCTGGCCATACCCAACCATCAAATATGTGGACCCCAAATTAGGTCTTATTTCTTTATTCTTTATTCAAGTTAATTTCCTCTCTTCCCTGTCGTCATATCAACATATGTATGTGGTTGCCACTGTGTATGCAGCTTTTCTAGGACCACGGGGATAAAGAAAGTATCATATACCAGATAGGAATTTGTTGTTTGCTAAGTTTAACTATTTCAAGCCTTACATTTCTGTCTAGACTAGGTTGGTGTTCTTTTTTGTTGCTTCGTTGGGCTTTATTTTCTTTTTGACGTTGTACCTCTAATTGTCTCTGGAGGCTTCTATTGTAGCTCAAAGTACACTAGATAGTTTTTCCCTGCCTTTTTCATTCCTTGGTTAAAATATCCTTATTGCTCTTATTTCTCTTTCTCTCTCAGCTAGGAAGGATGATCATGTTACGTTTTGCTCAAGATTTTGCTTCACACTGATAAGATCTCAGCATTTGGATGATTAACGCATATTGAATTCTTTCTCAATAAACATGGGAGCTAATTGCTGTATAGCTGCAAAAGAGAGGCCTCAGCCATGTGTTACTCCAATTGAAGTGTCAGCATTCAGGAACGTAAGACACTCTCCATCATGGAGCTTCCGGTGGGATAACCGCACACACATAGAAGACATAATGGAAATGCCCGCATTGTTTTCCAACCATAGTAGTGGAAGCATTCGGCCTGAAACAAAGAGTGGCTCAATTGCGCCAACTGATGGCTTTTCTAACGGAGGCAGCCCTTCTGATATGTTCAACAAGCTCAAGTGCCATAAATCTGACAGGAAGAGGGAGTCATCTAAGATTGCGAGATCTGACCTTCGAGGTAATTTATAAATTGTTCCTATATTCTTTCATTCTTTTATGTTTCTTTATGCATTCCTTCACCTGATTAAAGAATGGGATTCAACATTTCAACTTTGATGTTCTTCATAACAAAGTTATTGAACCTACATGGTCATGACTACCATTTAGGACAACAGAATGATGCCCTTGTTCACTAATGCTGTTGAATGCAACCATAAAGAGTGAAGAACTGAGGCAACAAAAAATATATATTCCATTTGTTTTGTTTTGAACATAAACAATTTGTTTTGTGATGTTTTCTTTCTGAATTAGCACTTTGATTTAACATGTCATTTACTTCTGAATCCTTGCACCTATGTTTATTCGATGCATTTGCACTCTCTTCCAGAGCTAGTAGAATAAAGTTGACTTGTTTAATTTGCTTTACCAACATATTTATTACACAACTTCCAACAGAAGATAAGCTACCACCTGTACCATAATATAAAATTGGAAAGGAAAACTGGGGAATATTGCCAAATTCAATGCTCTTGACCTTCCCAACTGATATTCAAATGCAATATAATTCTAGATGCATACATGATGCTCAATTTATCTTTGATTATGAAGAAAGGGTGCAAAAGAAATGTTGTTGGTCCTGCTCAGGATCTGCTTTAATTTAGATATTATTTTTGCACATTTCCCCATGAATCTGGAATTTGCATTCCCTTTGACCAGTTTAGCATCCTAATTGATCTTAGATTCTGTTTCCACCCAGAGCAGCTTATCTCACTCCATTTTTTGCTATTTGGCATTGCCTTATGTGCGTTTGTTCATAGGATTATCGAAATAAATTTTAGGCTCTAGTTTTTGGTGCTCATTGCTGGAACCTTCTACTGTCTCTGAAGGTGGATTGGTATATAACCATATAACATTCACATCGCACTTTTTTTGGCATGGTTTTTGTGGGGAGCATCCTTTACCCAAGGGAACTTTATTGGCTTGTAATATTTCATTTCTTTGTAACCAAGGTTCGAAAACGTAACCATCTTGTTACTATTCCAAAGCTTTTTGACTGGTACTGGTGCAAACCAGCCTGAATACTTGAAATTTAAAAATTGAACTTTAGAAATTTGTTGATCTGTTATAGCCACAATTTTTTTTCCTGGCAGTTGCAGTAACAATTATCCGGCGGTAACTATTATTTTACTTCAACTTTTGATTTGAATTCCTTTCATCCAGTAAACTTGTAACCTACTTATCTGGCCCCGGAAACCAGCACTTCTGTGAATACCGATTTCTGAAACCGTGTTCATATGTCAATATCTCAGTGAACTACCTGCCTTGCCTAGTCTGGAATTGTTATTTCGAATATGAACTACCTATTAATACATAGATCTACCTTTAGGCTGTGTTCGGCTCTACCTGTTCCCATCCTTCCCTCTTTTGTTTGCTGTGCGCATGCTTCCCAAACTGTTAAAGGGTGCAATTTTTTGCAAAAAAAAAAAATTCTATAGGAAAGTTGCTTTAAATTTATTATTAATCTATTTTTAAAGTTTTTTAAGCTAATATTTAATTAATCATGCGCTTTAATTAATCATGTGCTAAAGAGACGCTATGTTTTCCGTGCTAAAAAGAAGCGTTCCGAACTGGCTGGTTCGAATGCAGCCTTAGTCTATATTCAGTGATAATTCATCGACCATACTTTTAACTTATGTGCCAGGCTGTAAGATAGATTTTATCATCCTTATGCAGAAGACAATAGTCTTCAGCACAGGAGGAGTTTTTGCCTCAGCAGCTATTTGCTGACAATTCCCTTGCTGATTTCTTCTACTTTTTTTTTCAGCAGGTAGATCCACCACAAGCAATTCTTCCCCTGAGGTATGCAATACTAATCTATATAGCTGAAACCTGAAATTATTAGCTGTTACCATTTAAGTTTTATGTACCTTGGAAGATTGAAATGTGCTGTTTCTGATAGGTTTCTTCTTCAACATATTTTGTAGGCAAAGCTTTCCAGAAAATCGCTAGACACAGTAAGTGTGGCTTCAGATTCGAAGATGTCAATCTCTGTTCCTTCAACGCCGCCTGCTATATCCAGAGCAGATCCTTCATCATCCTCCAGGGGGCATTCTCTACCAACAGATGCAGATTCAATGAGGAAAGCACGTCGATCACCAGGGTATCAACTGTATAGACAGGTCTCCGACAGCAAGATTCCATCTCTCAGGTCTCTCAACGAGGGCGCCTCTCCTGAAGGAAGGCCATCCTCCTCCATGCTCTCAGTCTGCAGCAACGATTTATCTGCAGTAGGATCACATGGCGAGTCATCTGATGGTTGGTCAATGCGAACATTTTCTGAAATGGTCGCATCATCTCAGAGAGAGAGATGGTCAGTTGATAGTGAGCTCTTAGGTTCTGTTTCGAGTAAAATGACAAGATCAAATGCTTCTAATAATCCTACTACACATTCACCTGACCAAGAGGTGTGCAAGCTATGTTTAAAGCTATTAAAGGAACGGTCCACATGGAATGCTCAGGAACTGGCTGTTGTTGCTGTTTTATTGTGCGGCCATGTTTACCATGCTGACTGTTTGGATAGCTTAACTGCAGAAGCTGACAAATATGATCCCCCTTGTCCTGTATGCACCCATGGTGAGAAATGTACAGTGAAGCTATTTGGGAAGTTGGAATCAAAGACAAAGAACAAGATACCTAAAAATGTGATAGTTGATGTTAATCTAGATGGGAGCTCTAAGCATCAGAAGGAAAGTAGGAGAGAGCCCAGATTAGGCACAAGTTCTAGCTTGAAGGGCTCGTTTAGTCGCCCGTTTTTGAGAAGGCATTTCTCTATTGGCTCTCGGCCATCCCAGTCAATTTCAGAGAGCGAGTCTGCCAGAAAGAAGGGCTTCTGGGCAAGGCACTGGAGGGAATAGCATAACTGCCAGTCATCATCGAGGTGAGCAGTTTCCCATACTTGTACTGTGCGAATTCCATTCCAAATGCAATTTACCAGCTGTCATTTTCTTTCAAAAGAGAAATCCGACTGTCATATTGCATCCCTGTATCATTGCCATATATGATTACAAAGATAAATGTGCTTATCTTGCCCATGTATTTCTTTTCTAGAAATCCCTCTTGAAGAGGAGCTGTACTCCCAAGCGAGAGCAAGCATGCGGGAGCTGAAGTCAAGCCGAATCGGTGCAAATGATATGACATGGCTGTTGAACGACCTCCGCATTGAAGGTTTCTCCTAGCCATAGTCATATTCGGCCGCAAGCACTTGTCGTGCTGGAAAGGGTCTCGATAGTAGAATAACAGTTGATATAGTATACTATGCAACTGAGGTTTATTTCAGAGCCCAGTCGCAGTTTAGTAGCGAGTAATCTAACAGAAAAAGGGGATGATGGCCTTCAGAGTTGAGACCGAAGGTCCATTGCTGTGTTGCAAGGTTATATATAATCCAGCGTCCCAGCAATCTAGTTACTATGTTTTGTGGTTTTGTATTATTGGTTATGTGCCCCCTTTATTTTATGGTTGCAAATTCATATAGTTTGGGAACTTGCGTACATATTTGGAATCTTAACTCGGGAGATGCTATTTATTCATGACAACGCATCACAGAAGGCATGTAACGGTTATGTAATGTTGTTTGTCATCTTCGCAGACGTGGTAATATGATGGTCATGCATGTTTTTAACAGGGTAAATTGTTTGCAGTGGATTTGGATGTCATGTTTGCTCTACAATTCCTTGAAAGATTGCTGGAGAGAGTTCTGTCTTGTGCATTTAGATCCCTTTTACAAACTACGTTCCAGTGTTTCAAATAGCCGTACTCCCAACATATGACTACGATTAGTCAAACATGAGATTACTTCAACTAGAATACACAAAACTTCAGAGGAAAAATGCCGTAGTCATCCACAAGTGCGTGTATTTAGAATCATGCCATCATAACTGATACGGTATAGTACAATGCAAGCGGTTAATTATATAAATTTTCATCGTCAATTTTTTTTCATTTGTTCTTTTTTTTTTGAGGTTTTCTTCTACATTCGTCAACATAGTACTACTAGCTGGCGAGAACAAAAGTCGACCAAAACCGAAGATAATAATATGTACAAAACCAACACAAAAAAAACGGCGCATACATCAAATGTTCTGCACCAACCAAAGATCGGAGTTTGTTTACGTTTCTCCAGATTGCAAAAAGCATAGAAACCCAGTAACCTGCAAACCTAAAGGCTAGGTATGCTGCTGATCTCTCTGGCTTAATCCAAGGCGTTGGCCTATATGAAGCGCTACCACAGCGACTCCAATAGCGAAACCCGCAACAAGTATCATGTTCCATCGAGCATCCGAACAGCCTGCAAATGCATTTCGGATACCCCTGAGAAATCCTCGATTGCTGCTGAGCTCTGTACTTGGCTTCCCTGCGTCTGACCGCTTGGTAGAAGCTACATCATGCGCTTGGTTCTTCTGGTGCTCAACAAGACGACCACTGTTCTCAAACTTGATAGTCTGGTTGATAGATTCAGAACTACTCGTAGCCATCTTGTTGATCCCAACCCGCATTTTAGCCTGAGTTTTACCCTTGAACTGCGGCACACTAGTTTCAGGTGTTTTCATACTACGATAACGTCTTATAATTCCATTATCAGCAGCTTCATTCGACTGACTAGGCTCAGCATTGGCCTGGGGCGACCACAGTTCTTCCTTCTGAATTCCACTCCAAACATCGGTTGCATATTGAATGGGGTACTGATCCAAAGGATTCTGGAGCATATTGAAGTCATCTGTACCAGGGTGCAGTATGTTGTAAACATCTTCAGGCAACAAGTACTCCGTATCATCTACTACGTTCTCGTTAGGACTAGAATAGTCTTGTTCCACCTTTGGAGCCAAAGCACCTACGTTCTGTAAATTAAGAAGGAAGATAGCGCGATGAGCAAGTATGCACAGGCTAAGAACTGCAATCAAAACATAGTAGAATGGCAGAATGCACAGCACAATGACAAGTACAATTCATGATTTGCAGAAAATACATTGACTCCTAGGTTCCGTGTTAAAGAAAGAACATGGTATGAAAACACAACTACAGTCAACGTTTCCCCATAATATAACAGACCAGATACTTGGCAATAACCAGAAATCTCAGAAGAGGTGGAACAAACCGTAACACATAAGATAGCTTCAGTCCATGGTATATGCAAATCATGGCTATTTTTTAAAAAGTCAATCCAAACAAATCATAATAATTTTCAATGAGTTTCAAATATTATCCATGAGAATGCATTACTCCGGTGTTCCTAAAAAAATTACAAGCAAATCTTCTTTGTCAACCAGCAAAAGAAAATAAAAGGGCAGCCATACTAAGTCACAAAAAAAAATGGTCACAACATTGTGATTTGCCTATGTCTAGGTATCTCTAAAGGTCATTACCAGTCACATGCTTCATATTAGTATCAATTCCCAAGCAGTAACCAGTGCTGTACTAGGCTTAGTATCAATTCCCAAGCAGTAACCAGTGCTGTACTAGGCTCACAAACATTACTATAATGCAATGTTGTGTTTGGTTTCTATATGTTCGTGAAGTTATTCAGTATTTTGTCTATCAGAAATGCATTATGCAGATATATTAAATAGCAATCAGTATGCACAAGTGGACCAGTGAAGATCAATTTATTATGAGTAACAAGCATGTTAGATTTGTCCAACAGATTCTTGTTCATGCAATAGCCCGTTCTCATAGGGAGCTGGAGTCACTACAACATTCTAATAATGTCACTACAACATTCTAATAATTTATCCATTGAATTATTTAACCTGCAAACACAGTGACTGTGAAGAAACTCACCGATGATTCAACATTTTGTTCATCTGGAGACAGATCAGCAGAAGCCAGACTCTGTTCAGGGTCAAAGAAAGGATCAAATAGTTCATTCAACCAATCATCCAGATTAATGTCATCACTAGGAGATGGTATATTAGCAGTGATAGCTGACGTAGTAACACCGTCAGGTTCAGCAACGGTAACTGGTGCAGCTTCAACACCGACAACTGGTTCAGCAGCAGGATTTAGCTGTTCAGTACTGATAACTGATGGAGGAGCATCATATGGTTCTGGATGAGGATCACTGTTGTCCAACTCATTGCCATTCCCTGGGATCCAGTCATTTCTTTTGGTAATACGACAAAGTACATATGCATCCTGAGGGACAATAAAATAAAAGCCCTACATTAGATACTGGAATTCGCCCTTAGTCAGCAAATCATATGATTATATCATCTAAACCAGCAAGTTGTTTGAAGAGTGACATCAAGAAGGTACAGTGCACATTAATTTATATACTCCCTCCGTTTCAAAATGTTTGACACCGTTGATTTTTTAGCACATGTTTAACCGTTCGTCTTATTAAAAAAAATTTGTGAAATATGTAAAACTATATGTGTACATGAAAGTATATTTAACAATGAATCAAATGATATGAAAAGAATAAATAATTACTTAAATTTTTTGAATAAGACGAATAGTCAAACACGTACTAAAAAGTCAACGGTGTCAAATATTTTGAAACGGAGGGAGTATCATGTAAAGCCACAATATAGTTCTCTCTTTTCTAAATAAGCCACTTTAAAATCTTAATAATTAGTTCAATACCTTCATATCAGGGCAGGCTTGACATTCACGCTCATCTATATAGTACTCATGCATGATCCACTCAGTACGTCTCCCAGTGGGTGGGCGGCCTTCATGAAAAACTAAAGTTTTCTTCGTTCCTATAGTTTGCTTGCCCATTTTTATGGCTCGATCCTTTCCAGTGGATTTCCAATACCCAGCAACTGTTGCCCTATTTGACCGAGAACCGTTAGGATACTTTCTGTCACGAGCAGCGAAGAAATGCCACTTATTATCCTGAGTTGGAACATCGCACTTTGCTGTAATGTGAAATATCATCAGCAGTTTACATAATTAGATTCCAAGCGGCATACAAACAAAGGAAGCCAAAAAGTAGAAAAAAGAAACTCATCTATCAAAATAACAGGGCAGAGAATTGGACAAAGAAGATACATAATTGGCAATCAGTTGCATAATATTTAAAAAGGCAAAGGATGCAACAGTACTAAGAAATGACAACAGTACTAAGAATACAGAAAACATTCTGGTGCATTCCCCAGTGGTTCTTGCAAACATGAATGTTTCCATCTACCAGCATTATCTAGTTTAAATTGATGGTCAAATATTGACTCTTTTCTCATCAGCAAACTCTATGGAACGAAACAAATATAGGTTGTCATGGAATAATGTTCAACTTACCAGGTAAATCCCATGGTTCATGCTTGTATATATCCACCTCTGGAATGATCTCATATTCAATCTTTTGGCCATGTATTTTCTTTTTCAGATAGTGAGAAATGAGCTCAGTATCTTTTGGGTGGAATCCAAATCCTGGTGGGAGGACCATGTCACGTAAAGACTCCATGGTTCAAATCTGTGCATGAATCAAGAAAAGCAAACATGATCAGGGAGAATCTAAAACGGCATGGGTATTTAGCACAACGACTTACTGCCTAAAAACTAAAGAACATAAGTGACGATCTTATAAATCTTTCTAGAAAGATTCTCAACACAAACGTTGGCGATTTTAGTATGCTCATGGAGTAACATCCCCAAGCATTTTACAGAAGATAAACATGGAGGCAAACTAACAAAAATCCATATGAACAATGATGCTTCCTCCTTTCTAATTATTGACAATTTCAGGTTCAAAGCAAGCAGGGGAGGAAATTCTAAAATGATTAGTAGGAATATGGTAATAACTCCAAATTTCACATTAAACCACCTGAAAAGTGGGGTGATATCCTATTATAGGCTAGCTAAAATGGGAAAAGAAAAAACAATCGGGAATTCACTGATTTATCATCCTATTGAAGCACTGAAGGAAGAGCAGCTATCCTAATTCCCCAAATACCGAACTACTTCAAGAACACCATTTCTTCGCACAACCAACCAACCGACCGATCCACTCGGATTTCGACGGGGTCGCAACCAATCCCCATTACGCGCGTCTCGAATCCCCCAAGAATCTGCCCCCCGAATCGAAAACCCCAGGAGGCAAAAAAAAAAAAAAGAATAAGAAAAATTCCGCGGCAAAGATCCGCAATCGGCGAGTGATCGCAACCCCTAAACGAAGATCTCGATCGAAGAATCACCCTAAAACCCCCCACCTCCCGAGACGAGACGAAACAACTACCCCTAACATGAACGAACGCTAAACAACAAAAAAATCCCCCGCACCAAGACGAAACCCCCCAACAACGAGCGGGGACGTCGTCAAGCGCGGAACAATCCAAATCACCTAACCAAACACACACGCAGAGTCGAGGCCAGTCGCGGCGCGGCGCGGAGCGGGGAGGAGTCAGTCAACCCACTCACCTCCGGGAACGGGAAGAATCAGAGCCGCGCGGCGCGACGGCTCCCCGGTGCACCCCCTTCCCCCCCGGGCACGAGCGGCGGGTACCCCGGAGCTGGCTCGCGCGCGTCGTTGGGGTGGACTACTACTACTGCTGGTTCGCCATCGACGCCATGGATGGCGAGGCGAGCGAGAGAAAAAAAAGGGGAGGAGGAGGAGGGTGACGTGGCGGGCGAAGCAGCGAGGAAGCTAGGGATGGATGGGTAGGAGGCCGCGCTGCGGGCTCAACGCGCTTTTATATAAACCGCGGCCCGGGTTGGGTCGTTTGCTTAACGCGGGCGACCTGCGGGTCCGCGTGCGGCTGACGCGTGGGGCCCACTGGACCGTGGGGGGTGGGGACTGGCGGGGTGGGGCCCGTGGCCCACTTGGCGCTCTTCCAGTCCGTGCCGCCCAAGTTTCCGCCCCCGCCACCTCCACGTGGGCGAGGGGCTCGTCCGGGCGACACGTGTCGAGCCGCTAGCAATGGATGGACTGATGGATCGAGCCACAGAGAGCGCGCAAAGTGTGGTGCGGCTGCTGATGCTGCATGGCTGACGGAAGAAAGAACACATGACAGCTGGTGTTCTTGTCTCGTAAGATAGGAGATGATTTTAGAGCATGCAAAAAAACAATAAAACCATAAAGGTATGGTTAATAAAATTTTAATTTATTACAAATTTGCAAAATAGATCAATTTTATATTTGAAGCAACTTTTATATGTAAGGTTGTTATGTGAAACGTACCATTTAACATGCTAACAGCTTTAAAATTAAGCGTGTTAACAAGTGAATGTCCCCATCGTTTCTCTTATTCGTGGAATAAGCGAAACGGCATATTTGCAAAAAAAATAATTTGTGAATAAAACTTTTATATACGTGTTCTTAGCAATTTAAAAGTAAAGGCTAAAAAATAAACTTCGATGAAAAAACCTTAAAATCAATTCTAAATTTAAGATTAAAAATTTAAATTTTAAGTGATAAGCATAAGTATAAGCGAAAAGAGAGGGGGGGGGGGGGGCGTGCACGGTGCATCCATCCATCCAGGGGTGATCCAGCTGTTGCCTAGTTGCCCAAGAGGCCAGGAAACGTGTAGAGTATGAGAAGAGCGTTTGAAAATTATTAACCTGGTTAATTCTGACTACAATTCAACAGAGAAATGCGTAATTTCTTTACTGATCATGGCTGATCGACTGTTTTGTGTAAAATTCGTAGACTCAAATCGCTTTCGGTTTCTTCACCGGGGACAGTTCACCTAGCAGAGAGAGTAGATAGATATATTTCTGTATCCTTTTCTATACAATTCTCACACTCTACACCCAGATTTTGACTGCGTACAATAGCTGGCAATGCAATCGATCGGAGTAGAGGAGAGGAAACTGCCTGGAAACAGGCAGCTGGCGTGCGTCATCATCTGCGTGGAAAAAGAGGGCAGCAGCAGCAGCCAACATCACCCAGCCAATGGCGTCCGTAATAATAATCGATGATCATCTCCCTTGCGTTCCGTTAAACGTTTGCATCTGCTGGAGATCTTTTCAGGATTGCAACAGATTAGATGCTCCAATCTGCTCTGCCTTTTTATTCCCTCCATAATTTGGCCTGTACTTTAATTTCTTCGTGCAAAAAAAAAAACATAACCCGGTTAATTCTAACGACAATTCAACAGAGAATAAGACATAATCTAACACGATGAAAGACATCGTGCTATATCATGTTAAACGCTAATTAGGTTAGATTTTTTTTGACGGTGAGAGTACTCATCTTCACTTTCTCTAAGAGCAGGTACAATAGCAGGCTATAAGCCAGCTATATACATATTTTAAAGAGATAAATGAAGAGAGAATAGCGGCGGGTTACAGATTTGTAGCCAGTTACAACACAGACTCCAAGACGTAATGTGTGTATGACATGTAGGACCAGATATTAATAGTATAATAAATAACTATTTTATGAATTGGCTATTACATTGGCTATAAATGATTTGGAGCTAATAGTTAGCTATATTATTAAACTTGCTCTAAGTGCATTCTCATCCTCCTGTTTATTAGTACTAGTACTAATAAGCTAACCAACAAACCTTGACTTTGGAAGTCTGGAGCACTTGGTTTGCGGATGCTAATATAATTATGCGTATCTGGACGAGATTAGCTGATGGCAAGGCTAATTAGGTCTTGGCGACTCGGCCGCTTTTGCTTGTAATAAGAATAATTAGGGTTTTTGATCTTTATCTGGATCGATCGGAAGAACCTTATCCTCACGTCGCCTTCTTCTTGGTTGTTTTGTCCGCTTGGGTGGGAGTTGTTAGCGAGTCATCCCATATCCAAGCGACTATGAATATATACTTCCATTTCTACTGTCATCGATCATCAAGAGGGATTTCTCTATACCATGTCTAAATTCTTCAAATTAAGTTTTTATTATAAAAGACATGGATTATTTTAGTTGATTTTGGCTTCCTGCATTTCAAAGAATTCATTAAGGTTGGTATAAATGGTAGAGAGTAATGGGAACATCTATTGATTATAAGTAGTTGGTGAGAACGTGTATCATTCAGATTAGCTCGGTCAATTATGTTGGTCGTACTGTTCGAAAGGGGGGTGTGTAGTCATGATATGCAATTAATGTTGCATAAATATAAAGTTTTTGTTTGGAGCAGTATGATTAATTAATGAAAAATCTCCACAGCAACCAACTCTCTAATCGCCGGTAGCTAGCCTTTTCGGAAGCAAAAAGGCTGGTAGCCAGGCCTTATTTGTGGAACAAATGCAAGTGTTTAAATTCACATCATTTGAAAGAGTTACTCCATCCGTTTATAAATATTTGACACTGTTGACTTTCTAAATATTTAACATCATTGGCTTTTTAGTATATGTTTAACCGTTTGTTTTATTCAAAAACTTTTGTGAAATATGTAAAACTATATGAATAAGACGAACAGTCAAACATATTTTAAAAATGTTAACGGCGTTAGATATTTAGAAACAGAGGATTATTTAGGAGGACGATCCAGAAAAAAAGATACATTTCTCATCCACATGCTCGAGTAACGAGCGGTTTACTATTCAATGCCTGCTTATACATACATACACACACAAACGTCTTAATTTGTATGCATAGATACAATAATGCTATACGTAAAACAAAAGTGTCAGGGTTATATGATGATTAATTTAGAATATTTATTTTTTTTAAGAATTTATAATTTTTGGTTATGTGATGATCAATATGTAACGGATTAATGATGATGCAAGCTGGTATACATATTTCCTTTAAAAATATATAGGTGTGTAAAGTAAATGTAGCGCGCGGGTCTTTTTTTTCTTCTCCAAATTGATTCCATCTTCGTATATCAACTATCGCATTACCATTGTTTCCAGATAGTGAAAGCAAATGTTATACTATCTCTCCAATTTTTTTTAATAGATAGGCTTTTAATATAATATTATTTGACCATTCATCCTATTGCATGTTTTATCATTAAAGAGACCTATATTTTAGCATATTTACACTAATTTTTTAAATAATACGAATGATCAATGTTATTGTAAAATTCAACGATATATATATATATATATATATATATATATATATATATATATATATATATATATATATATATATATATATATATATATAGGACACTCATATGTATGGGGCACCATGGTTTCAAATGCACAAAATCACTCAAATTTTTCAAAATTTTCAAATTGTGAGTATATACCTAGTTATAAGAATTCGATTCATACCTATACCTATCAACAAAACAACTCAAATTTAACTTTATTTCACAATCCATGATTACATACCTAACTAATTATATGTATGGATGCTATATACCTAGAATCAAAATCTAACAAAAACAAGTTCAAATTCAGTTCAAACTTGCTTTCAACTAGTTAGTAAAGTAGTTAATATTAATACCTAAATAATTGAAAAAGTTTCATGCTCATTTGAATTGGGTATATACTCAATTTCAACAATGGTGCCCGGGCACCATGGAGCACCAAACAAATTTACTATATATATATATATATATATATATATATATATATATATATATACAGTCCTATAATACGATTAATATTAGCATATTACCAAATATTTGAACATGGATAAGACAATTCTTGTCCTTTATAGCTTGCATTCGATCCTCAGATGGCTTCATATAGTACATTCATTGAGGCAAAACCTACCACTTTATAACATGACAATGCCATCAACTTCGCCACAACTGTCACTTTCCTCCTCAAAATGTAGTGTTAGCATCATGTATGACCCTAGATGGCCGCATTTTTGGACCCTATTGTCCACTGGTGCCACTCTATCTTAGTTTTTGGTGTGAAAAGCTTATTTACTTTTCTGTTATCCTGACCTTGGACAGAATTTTCAACATAAATCAAAATCATAGAAACTTCTTTAGTCTCACCCACTATGGAACAAGTTTCAGCTTGCAAAAAAAGAAGGGACTAATTTTTAGGTTGACGTACAAAATACATCTTCATTTTCTCTTGCATTTTATATCGTGCAAAAAATTTTCTGCATTTATTTATAATGTATGTATATCATCTACTCTAATTTGTTGAATGGCGATAATATGGATTCACTAATGCAATCAAACTGTAGAACGTTAGCAAAGTCTTAGGGGTCCTTTGGAACGCTGGATTTTCATAATACATTGATAGGAAAAACATATGATTTAAGTGTCTTGTCACCTCGAATCCTATGAATGTAAATTATAGGAATAATACATCAATGGCTGTTTGGATGGAGCGTAGGAAAAACACAAAAATTGCAAGAAAGAGATAGTCACAAAAGAATTTTTTTCCAAGAGATTAAAAAACAGAGGAATGGGTAAAAACATTGGAATATTTCTTATCATAGGATCGCATATGAAAAACAGAGGATTTGAGAGTACATAATTTTTTAGATATATAAGTTTGGATGGGACAAAGAAAAAGTATAGGAATTGTTTTGAACAAGCAGAGCATACAAATGTAATAGAAGCCTACCAACATTTTTTATATGAAAAGAAACAACCAATTTAATTCCAGGATGAAGTATTTGACAGTTTGACACTAAAACAAATTTCATACGGAAACATTCAGTTAGATTGGGACACATTGTGAACTTGTGAAGCGATTCATCGAGAGGACAGCAGCCAGCAGCCCATGAACAGGAACGTGAGCGCATGTTCAACGGCCGAAGATGACGATAGCTACGATCCAATGGTAGCAAGCAG